AAAGCCCTACATGGTGATAACCTCTGATAGGAAGAGGAAACCACAGTAGCAAGTGGATAGATGACTAACCCAAAGAATCAGCACCAAAAGAATACAAAAGTAGAAGGAATGTAAAGCTTGGCACATAGAGGCTACTCAGTGAATGGCGATTAATATTATTTACAGTTGTTGGTCAAAAGGAACCACGTAGTCAGCCTCCATGGCTCTGGTTTTGGGAGTTTACATTTCAGAGCACTTTTATAAGATGCAAAGCAGCTCCTTTGGGGTTTATCACAAGTAGTTAGTTACAAATGAGTAAATTCAGTGCACGGTGGAAGTGCCCTTGCCCAAGGTATCCTACAGTATCTCTTAGGGGGTCACTTGTATGTTTAGAAGACTGCAAAAGAGAAAGAATCCTGGGAAATACTAATTTGGGATATTATCATAAAGAAACACATGTAACATTTCCATCCTTGGGCATTATTATCTAAGTAGATTTAAGTACACTGCTAGTCTTTTAAACTTTAAATTGTACAGAGCATACTGGTATTTCCCACCTACATTTTATGTTTATTTTTAATAGTTTCTTGATCCACAATTTGATTTACGTCAGTGGAGTGTTCAGATTGTGACATTTGACTCAAACAGTTTTCCACTCAGAAAGCTGTGAAGAGTCTAAGCAGCTTTCTAGGCTATGATTTAACTTTATTTTAAATAGAAATGCCACTGTTTTTACATTAAATTTATCAACCTTCTTTAAATTTTCTCAGTGGGGAAAATTTATAATATTCTTGAAATAAGACACATAATCACCAAAATCTTTTAATTGATTGGCAGCTATAGTACTAGAAGCCCTGCTGTCCTATTAGTTTAAATTCAGAGAGAGGAAAATTCTAGATTATGTTGTATTTCATAAAAGATTTGAAGGTCCACCTATTTTGTTGGTAACCAACTAAGTTTTTATTCATCAATAAAGTGGTGGCAAATTAATCAAAGCTAAAAATACTCACTCTGAAAGTTATTCAATGTTTATTGTCCAAATGGAGAGTAATGAAGGTTCAGATTATGCAAAGTAGAAACCAAGCACGTCATTGAAATTAAGTGCATATTTCCCAACAACTCTCCATATTTCTTTTCCTTTGACTTTCTTAAATGATACAGAAAATCTGTTTATGTTCCCTCAGTACAGATCAGCTGAGGGTAGAAAAGTGAACCTCGGAGAGGGCAGCCTTTGTCCATGGTGTCCCAAATTGCCTCTATTAGGCTCAACCTAGTTTTAGCTTTCAGGCAGCACTAGGGCTACACAAAAAGTAATTCTTTTTCCTCTGGTACTGCTTCTTGTGCTGATCATTATCCGAGGTAGGCTTGATCCTGTCCTTTCTTTCATACCCAATAATTTGCTCTTATTTGAGCAAATTATTTGAGCTCTTATTTGAGCAAATCTGAGCGTCTGAAACTTACAGCTCCCAAGGATTCCTTTTAACTAAGGTAAAACTTAACCTGATTCCTTGCTAACATATATAGGGGACTTGAAAATGCACTTGTTTAATTCATTACCATAGTGACATCAGTGGAAGGAGGACAATAGATGGGCTAGTGGGATTCCTCTGAGGCAGGATTAGTTCCTGGGGTAGGGACTAGAGCTCCAAAACAATGTCACAGAGCTATCCAAGGAAAGCTGGATCATTAGAGCTGGACCATGTACTTTGTTGCACTGTGTGTACTCAGATAGCAGGAACCCATCTAGCTCATGCAGCAAAGATTAGGAGTATATACTTAGACAGTGGAGGAAAATTAGGAGTATACACCTAGCTAATGGAGGAAGATTAGGAGTATACACCTAGCCAGTGGAGGTCAGCAACTCTCATTCAATCATGGGGCACCATGGGGTATTTGTCAGTGGGATCCTAGACAGATTATTCTTTGTAACTCTTTTAGACTAGAGGAAATAACTGTCTTCTATGCAACTTACTTTTGTAGATATCACTGCATTATTTCTGGCTTCTTTTTAAAATTTCTTTAAAAAAGACATTTTTTCCTATTAAAAAAATTTCCAAGTCCTCTGTCTCTGTTAAGGAATTATTTTTATGATTATCATTGGCTAATGTTTTCAATATCAGATAATGATATCTGAATTTCTATTAATCATGTAACCCTAGTAGATAATATAACATGTAGGGTGAATCATTATAATTAAATAGCAGGAAAGAAAAATTAGCAATGTGGCAATTGTGGTCATTTATATTAATACTTCTATTATGTTACTTTAGTCATTCACTTATTGCTGATTAACACATAAGTGTGACATTAGGATAAGTTTAAAGACAAAAATCTAGTGGTATTGTTCTACTTAATTCACAAGACTTGAATTCAATATAGAACAGATGTAGTTAACACTATATTATAAACAACTTATAACATTTTGATTAATTGAAGATGGTTAACCAAAGAGATGTAAACATTGATATTCTCAATTTTCTCCTTTGTTATTCTCTGTTGAAGACATTAGTTGATAGTTACTGGGAAGAATATACTCTAATTGGCTCAGGTGCAGTTGTTGAAAATATTATATTATGATTATAAAGTATTGCAAGTATTCATGGTAATACTTTGCTTGGATAAACTGAAAAACGTGATTACTCAGGTGCAAAATGCATATTATCAGTAATTCTTGTGAAATAAAGACAATAACTACCTGACTGATTAGTCGAATTCAGTCTTAAAATGTAGGAGATTTTTAAAAAGGCCAGGAGACATGCTCAGCTTTCTTCTTTCTGCTACTTCATGCAGAGAGGTTGGAGAGTAATACATTTCTCCAGGCCCCTTTACACGGACAATGACTGTGCGATTCATTTCTCACCAATTACATGTAAGGGGCAACCTACAAAGGTAAATTTTGCAGAGCTTTTACTGTTTTCCTTATCCTTTTTGTCTCACATGAGGAGATCCCCAGAGTGGCAGGAATCAACTCATAACCAATGGCAACAAGCATAGGACAAAAGCCAACATGCTAATGATGCCTATGTAGATAAAATGAGCCAGTGTTTCCCACAACATTATTGAATACTTAACACCTCTTTTTGTTTGAGACTTAATAAAAAAATGATTCTGTTAGTGATGTTATTTAATGTCAGGTTTCAGTTTACTTGTTTCCCAGTGCTTTTTTTTTCCCTTTATTTTTGGTTTTTTGAGACACAGTCTTTCTTTTAGTTTAGGCTGGAATTCACTATGTAACTCAGGCTGATCTTAAACTTACAGCAATCTTCCTGCCTCAGCCTCCCAAGTGCTGGAATTACTAGAATGGACCATCACAACTGACCCAGTACATCTTATGTGTGTAATTTTTATGATTTTGAGGCGGTAAGTTCTACAATGATCTGAAGATCAAGCCAGCTCATTGCCAAAAACATGATCCAAATTTACTTCTAATAGAGTAATCTAAAGCAGACGATAATGAAGGGAAGGTCATGCAGACCATAGAGAATATGTGGCCAATAAACATGCAAAATATTCCTACTGCAACTGAGCATCTAAAATTTTAATGTTATGTTGCTTTAATTAAGTTGAAATAGCCACATGTGGCTAATGGCTATCATATCAAACAACACAGATGTGAGAAACTGCAAGGCTATTAAAATTTTAGATCACTGTAGTTGTCTTGAACAAAATTTCTGCCTTTATGTTATTTTATAGGCCCAAGAACACCTCATTATAGAAAAATGATGGTTTGGCAGGGCTTTACATAACATCATGTTTTAAGGCTCTTAAACAATATTTAACTTGCATAGTAGTTAACTACACAGAACTGATACCAATTTAAGCATTTCTCATTGACAACTATAATAAAGGATATCTCTTGGAATAATAATCTTATTCAGACTATACTCATTCAATTCAGTGGTTTATTAAGATTACCAATTACAAATGAAAAGAATGATAATGATTTTCCAGTCTTATTAAGCTGTGGGCTAACAACTCTCCAAGATAAACTTTAAATTATAGTTTGCAGAAGACTATGGGGTTATGCTAGGAAAGTGAGCAAAATTTTACCAAACACTAACAGTCATGGGGCACCAAATATTTGTGGCCAAAGATACTCCAGTGAAAGACAAGAGCAAAGAACGCTGATTGGACAGAAACCAACAAGGCTGTCATGTCCTGGAAGATGGTATTCAACACTTATCTTACATCTATATCCAGATGTAATTAGAACAATAATTCCATCATCCTTTGGTGCCTTATGTAAAGCATGTTCATATTCCCAGTCAACTTCGGTGTCTTATATCAGCATGCTCATATTCCCAGTGAACTTTATAATCTGAGGAAGAACTAATTCAACAAGCTTCCAAGGTAGCCCAGAGGTGTGAAAATGATCACCTCCTCTTCAGTCTCCTGAGACAAGGATCATAATCCTTCATAACTCAACCATTTAAGGTTGGAAAACAAAAAGTCAACCAAGTCCCTTTGTACTGAGTTCCTTTATGTCTGGTGCTATGCTTGACAAGCTGAATTTAATTCAGAGATCTACCTATACTTGAGACTCTAAATAAAAATGATGAAGAAAATAAGCTTAAGATTTTAGGAAGGCATATTCTACTTAGTTCTATCTGTAAATATATATAACCGTAAAAAATGTTTAAGAAAGCCACCATCTCGTATTTCCAACCAATAGATATTTGCTACTTCTTAAAATAACTATAGAATCTGGATCCATTCAGAATTGATTTTCTCCTCAGAAACAAGTTATTTACAATCAGTGTTATTTTTACTTTACATTGACAAATAAAAACTTCTCATCAGTTCTCCCTGCATACTTTGACAAATACCTATGTTTTCTTTATGTCACTTTGACCTACTTTTTAACTGGTAGTGTCCAATGTCTAAGAGATAAAGCTAAGCAAGCTTAGTCCTGGTTAATGGAAGCATAAGACATGGTCTCTAGGAACATACCATGTCTGAAAGAGAGTTGCACAAAGAAAAACACCTCATGTTTAACCGTATCTCAAGAAATGAATTTTTACCTACGACATGGCTCTGAAATGCAGAATCTGCAATTGTATCCTCTTCATCCTCTTGTATGTTTTCATTTGCCTCTTTAACCTGTACCAATAAGAAAATACTGGAAGTTTGTATTCATTTTATTAAAAAGAGCTTTTTCAATCCTAAGAATAATGATACACTGTGTAACAAGTGAGTAGGTTGTAAACATGTACACACATACAATGCATAGGTATAAGAATGCATTTATTTATGTGTGTATATCATTCTACTTTCATTTTACCATTAGTATTAATCACAAGTTTTAATTAAAAGATATTTTCAGGGAATATAATCCCAGTTTTGAAAGAAAGGATTTACAAGGTATGTGATTCTACACAAGATTTTAGAGATAACAACTCTAATTTTTAAAATTTAAGGAAGTCAAGTAACACAGGGATATTAGAAAAAATTAAAGTCTGAAAAGGTATAATTCCTCCAGACTCGGATTTTCACCATAAATTACTTTAATAAGGATGAAGTAATACACTTAGATCTCCTAACACTTTCCTAGAATATAACTGTCTAACAAAATGATTTTTTTCATTCTCTCCACCCTAAAACAATATAACTATGATGTACACTGAGTGAACCAGAGGGAGGAGACATTTTTCTAGACATTTTACATTAAAAACATTCTGCTTAAATATCAGCTAAAATCCTCAGGCACTGGACCACTCAAATGAAACTCTAGAGAAAATTTTATGAAGTCACAGTATTTCACGGATCGGAATTCTTAAGTCTAGAAAGTTCCCTTAAATTGGTCACATGTGTAGTAAGTGGCAACACTGACTTGAAAACCTGTCCCTTACTTTCTAAACAAGGAGCAGGGGTAATGTCAATATCAACAATACCAACCAAGTCCAAAACAGTGAACATCTCTATGCCTCTGTAAACTCTCACAATCCTCCCAGCAATGCTATGGGTAGGTGATATCATCTGCTTCATTTTAGACATGAGGATACACCCAAGCGGCAGAAAAGATAAGTAATTGTCCAAGTGACGGAGCTGAGATTAAAACACAGAAAGCCTTCAGATCTATGTTCATTGGGGAAGAATTTGGTAGTTTTCCAATTTCCACTTGACTATGCTTGTATGGACTCGGACTCACTATTAAATTAGGTGAGGTCTTTGAGGAATGACCCTGCATAGTTCTTTTAAAATACGTTCTGGCTGGTCAATTGGGCAGCCAGTAATAATGCTTGTGGGCTGTGCAATGCAGTGAGTCCTGCTCAGGCACATCTGTCAGTGGCTGTCAGGGATTTGCTTAGAGGCTGAAGTTGAATATGAAGAAACCATTATTTTAGACTTGCAATTTAGAAAGTCATATAGTTGCCTACTGACCTTGAGCTAGATTTAGCTTTCTACTTTTTACCTCCTATTTTTTACACTTAATGGGATAAAACCAATTATTTACATTTTATGACTGTGGTTCCAGCTGTAGAATGCAATTGGTGCTTAATTTATTTTGTTCTGATAGCTAGAAGATGACAGATGCAGGAGGGGATATAGATGGCTACCTCCCATCCTTTCAAGGAAAGACTGTCAATGGCTCAGGAGCCGGGAGCCATGCATGCCTCATCACTTTCATGCCCATTAGCAGTCTGCTCTGTAGGCACTTCCCTATCGCTTAGCATTGCCTGAGAAGAGAAAGAATGAAAGAAAGGAGAAAAAAGGTTTCATCTATTCTCACTAAACCTCTCAGTGTACAGTCATGGAGAGCAGAAAAGAAAAGCTCTGTGAACATGAGCAAGGTTGCGCATTTGCTTTCCAAGGCTTCCTGAGTTCAGAGATCTGCTTGGGACCAGGCTGTGCAAACCTCCCTGAGGAAGGGGGCCCTCCAAACACTCAAATTCCCACGAACAAGCCCCTAGAAGCCTTCTGTCTTCACCTCTAGAACCATCAAAGAATCTTTATCTTTAGTTTATCTCAGCTCTTTTGGCAAGCTGTTCCATATTTCTCCCTATTGTTAGTGTAAAACAGTATTTCCTTTTGATTGTACTAAATTTGTCCATTTAAACTTGTAAGGATGTTCTGTAAACTGTCAGAATAAGGTGAATCATTATCTCTGTAAGCCTGTGAAATTTCAATGTAAAGAATCAGAATATTAAGAATAGTTTCTCCTAAAGAAAAAGAGACTCAGAGGAGGGTTAGAGATGAGTACAAAGTCATACAGAATTCTAGTTTTAGAATGGATGGACATTCTTGACTCCTATTCTTCATTGAATTTAGTGTTTTAGAGTATCCCATATTTCTGTAGCTATCCTTTCCAGATGTTCCTGAGAACTCTTATGTTTTTTTAGATTTGTCACACTAAAAACAATCTACTTAAACCTGAGCTGGAATTCCCCAGGGATTGTATAATTTAGCCTCAAGTGGAACTCTAGAGAAAGTCTCCCAAAGTCACAGTACTTTACAGGTCAGAATTCTGAGGTCTATGAAGTTCCCTTAAAATGGGCCACATCTGTAATTGGCAACACTGGCATGGAAATCTGCCTGCCAACTAGGTATGACAGCCATACTTAACAGCAAGTGTTAATAACACAGAAAGTGTTAATAAATTACAGTACTTTAAGAATAAACATTTTCTGTGCATGGAGGCATGTGTGCATGTATGTGTGTGTCTGTGTGCGTGCCTGCATGTGTGTATGTCTACTCTGTTTCACTCCCTACTGCTTCCTAACCCTTCTGTGGAACTTTAAAACATTATTTCTCCAACTACAACATTTAATAAAGCAAGTTATTGTAGAGTTGTATTATCAACTTCTTTCAGAACCCTTTTAGGGCTTTTCTTGTTTAAGAGTACATGATAAATGTGGTTTTTGGGAATTCATCGAAGAAGTCAGCTCTCCTGGGATGGCCGACCTCTCAGAGGCAGATAACTAGTAGGGTAAATTTTTGAATTTGAAAGCCTAAGATGTAACACCTGTAAGGTAATGTAAACAGCAGATTGTCCTTTCTAGGACTTATGCTATACTCATAAGTTCTAATTATCCACACAAATAAATTTCAAAGCAAAGTGGTAAATACTTTAAAAACTGATATGCCTATGGAAATGAAGGGCATAATTTATTTTGGCAGCAGATCACCCTTGCTAATTATATTTTTCATAGGGTTAAATTTAAATTAATTTTCCTTCCTCATCACGCAGCAGCTGGGATGTGAGAATCATCCTGGGGTTAAGGGCTGCCAGGTCAAAGAGTAAAATTTTCCAAAGACAACTAGAAGTGGGACAATTTTCTCCTGGTAAAGAAAGAGAATGAGAGAGTGGGCATTAAACCAAGACAGCTGGCAAGGTTTTGACTCAACAAAGGCTGGCCAGGTAGAAATTCAGAACTGTTTTGGTCACTGCTATCTCAGAAACAGTTTTGAATCTGTATTAGCAATGTCTCACTTGATAAGAAGTAGGAGGTGACTCATAGCAACAACTACTTGCTATTTTTTGTTTAGGTCTGTTGTTAGTACTTTGTCTTCTAGTGATGTCTTTTGTGTTTCTGCAGTTATAGCTGAAAACTGTTCCAAATACAAGCCTCTAACAAGTGCTCATTCAAAATCCCTGCATTCATCATATCCTGTTAACTCTTACAGTAGGAAGGGTGGGAAGAAATGAACTTACAAAACACACATGAAGGAAAAGAGGGAAAATAATACCCAACTGAGATCTATAGAGGATTTCACAATTAAACCCCATATTTAGAGACAAGTTTCATTTGAATTTTGCACATATTTCTTCCCCCAACCACCTTGAGAGTAATGGCTTCTCCCCAAAATTACATTTTGGTTGTTTGATTCTGTGAGGGAAAACTAAAAAAGTTAGTAATTTAGTAAACTTTGCAAAAGATGGCAAAATCTGCACACTTCTTGTGAGAATTAGAATAGTATTCAGAACAGAGTTGTTCAATTTAGGATGCTGGAATTGTAACATTCGCTACAACCTAATAAGATAACAATTTATGTAATTATTGTACTATTTTCTGCTATTTTATCACTAGAGTACCATTTTAATGGGGTAGCATTTGATGATTTTTTATTAGCAGATGTGATTTTTTTCAGTCTATGTGACACTTGGGTGAAGAGAATACCCATAATTTAAATTACAATGCCCATATTAAAATGGCAATCTCTCTCTCTCATGCACGATGAAAGTATATGATTTCTTCAACTTTGTAAATATTTTTTATTTGTCCAGTGGTGGTATTAAATAGGAGCTTGGAGCTGTCTTCATTTGACACTTTCCATTTCAGAAAATTATCTCACTCCACATGAAGGAAAAATTTACGACGTGTAGCAAGCAGAGTGTGCCTCTCTGTCTTAATGCAGAGACAATCTTTCTAGGTGATGTCTTTCCCCTTTTTTAATCCAATCATAAAAAATCATTGTAAGAACAATGTAACATGGCCCCATCTCTAAATTACACAAAAATTAGAGCTAAGCGATCCATAAATGATGGTGGAAATGGATATATAAGCCTTTAATTGAGGTTCTGAAAAGAGCAGGATTTAATTCTGCAAAGAATTACTGGGGATTTTATATAGTTCTTTAGAATGTATCTTAACAATACTGAAAAGGGCCATGTAGTTACTAGTGAACAAAATGGTTTGCTACAGAAAGGAATTTGTTATATATGGAAATAATCTGTTATCATTGTATAACAAAAATAATTAAAAATGTGTAAAACTCTCATGACCAACTATAATCTTAGTCTATAAAGGGCAAGGAATTCTAGTATGTTATTTCATAAGGACTGGGAATTGTAGTTTTATTCAGGGAAAAAAGTGTGATATACAATGTAATATATAAAACTACTTTTTCCATCTAAAACAACTATTATAATATGAGAAAAATTCTTTGTAACACACTTTAAAATAAGCAGAGAACAAAATTACCTTGAGCTGTAGTTGGGGAGAATTCCCTAAAACTCTGAATTTTAAAAGGTTCACAGGTATTCATGCCAATATGGTACGGTATCAGAATAGATCTTATTTTGCATCTAATTTTCTTCCTATATAGACTGATAACACATAATAAATAGGTTTTCATTGTTTTTCTCGTACTAGTCCCAAAGGAAACTATAGTTCCTTTCTGAAATTAGTAATTTTAGCTCAATCCACTCTGATGATCATGAACATGAAATAAAAAACATGACATTTTGTATTTTTTTAAAATGACTAACTGGGAAAATACTCAAGAGAGGAACAGATGGATTGAATGCAACTTCCAATTCTAGTTTTTTGAGGAATCTCCATATTGATTTCAATAGTAGCTGCATCAGTCTACACTCCCACCAATAGTGGAGCAATGCTCCTTTTTCCCTGTAGGCTCACCAACATTTGTTATCAGTTGATTTCTTGAAGGCAGTCATTCTTTCTGGAGTGAGATGAAATTTCAATGATGTTAAAACATTAAAATTTGCATTTCTCAAATGACCTGTGATGATGAACATGTATTTATTTGCCATGTGTATATCTTCATCTTACTCAGCTATTTAAAAAAGGATGATCTTAAGGCTTTTATAGGTAAAAGTTGGAGGCAACTTGAGACTATCTTTGTAAGTGAAATAAATCAGACTCACATTTGTAAATATCATGTTCTCTCTAGTATAAAAAATAAAAAGATTACTTAAAGAGTAATGAGATCCATTACTTAAAGAGTAATGAGATCCAAAATGTATAATAGATATTGAGGTAATGAAAGGGAAAGAAAGTGCTCTGAAGGATGTAACTGTATGTATGTTTAAATGTGCAAGACAGATAACTATACTAAATTTTTGTTAGATCACAAACAACATGGTTTGTACTGTCATTGTTTGACTGTCCACTTCTTATGCTTTGGTTTTGTGAGTTGAGCAACTACTTCTAAGATAAAAATATGTAATTTATCAACTAGTGATTTCTTACTTTTTAAAAAAAAATCTGTATCTCTACCTTTTTTCTGTTTTGCTTATTTTTTTTTCTAAAAAAAAAAAAAAAAGACTAACTGGTCATCTATCCAGGTTGGTGATATTTCTCTTTATGGAAAAGCTTCTTTGCATGACTAATTTCTTCTTGCAGCTAACTAGGACAATTATTGTATCCCTGTCAATTAGTTTTAGGGGTGGTTTGGAAGTCTCTGTGTTTCACAGAAAATAATAAGACGGTTTCTTGCAGATATTCTAGAAAGACCAAAGGACCCTTATTACTACTCTGTGAAAGACTGCAGACTAGAGAGGAAATACATGGTAAGTTACTTTAGTATTAGGAAGTAATAAGAAAGTAAAAATGAAATTGTAAAAGGCAACATAGGGTCTTTTAGTTTTTTTGGTACTTCTGTACAGTGAAGATATACCTTAAGCTGTCAGAGCCGTATTAAATGGGGCATAGTTAAATGGAGTGCCTCTGATAAGGGCTCTACCAGGCTATCAGAGTTTTCCATCAGCTGGATTGAATTTCTGGCATATTGCACATTTCCCCACATTCCTTTTCTCCCTTCTCTTTCAGTGACACTACAAGGACAGCCTCTGATATGCTTATAATTTGTGGTTTTATAATGCAGGGAATATCTATGTTTTCAAAGAAGTAATGATAGATAATGTGGAAGCCAAGAGCAAAAGGAGATGAAAAAGTAAAAACTTTTACAATGAACATGGTCCGCTTGTGATTTCAGAGACTTTGAAAGAAACACCTGCTAGCTTTTTGAACTCAAGACTTATTCAAGTAAAAACAATTTAAATGTGCAATTTTCTCAAATTAAACAGTGTCTGAAATTCTAACCCAAGGAATGCTGAGTATCAATAAATAATTATAATAATTAATAATGAATAATGCCAACCATAATTGCTTGGCATCTCCTTGAATCATATCCAAAAAATACATAATTACTTCACATTTCAAGTTTTCCTTCTGAAACTAGTAGTATATGCTTACCATATTTGATAATTTCTTTAATAGTAAAGATATGCGTATGGTAAATTCTGTAGTAAAAATTTTTTTTGGTTTATGTGGCTTAAACCTTATTAAAGGGAACAGTGCATACTATTATTATATAAGCATATGATGCATTTTAAGGGGAGTAAATACAATTCAGAAATAATTACCATGTATTTCCTCTCTAGTCTGAAGTCTTTCACAGAGTAGTAATAAGGGCCCTTTGGTCTTTCTAGAATATCTGCAAGAAACCATCTTATTATTTTCTGTGAAGCACAGAGACTTCCTAACCACCCCTAAATTAGCATACACTAGAGAAATACAAAATACTTATTTATTTTTTTGTTACACTTTTTTGTTTTTGAGTGCAGGGGATGGAACTCATGATGTTATGTGGTCCAACACTGAACTATATTCCACCACCTCCTATTTATTTGTATTTTCAAAGGAAGTAGTCCTTGAGTTCTGGATTTCATAAATGAAAGTCTACATGACAGGGAACAAAGTTTTAAAGTAGTTCTTGGGCTTAACAATGTCCAAGTAAGATGAACTAGCACAGACACCTTTGATAAAAAAATAAACAATGCGCTGAGTGTGGTGATGCACACCTGCAATCCCAGAATTCAAGAGGCTGAGGCTGGAGGAGTACTGTGAATTTGAGGCCAACCTAGGCTACAATGTGATTTGAAGGCCAGCCTGAACTGCATAGCAATAATTGTTTAGCACTTTTATTTTTAAAACTACATTCATTCCTTTTTGTTGCAAGTGATGTTGGAAATCATAAAAATAAATTTCCAGCAAAAGGTATAATTTGAAGATGACACTGCATCATTTGACTGCATTGCACTGCGATTATACCATTATTCTGAAAATAGACTGAAAAGAGCAGCATGCCTGGAGGCAGCCGAGCCCACTCAGGGTCTAGCTTCCTCTCCCTGGAAGTTGTCATCAAGATTTCTGTCTTTAAAAAAAAATCCATGTCTTATTTGCAAAAGGTAAAAAAAACTCAGCCAGAATATCTCAGATCAAAGAACTTCATAACCAGAATAGTAGAGCACTTACCAGGGAGTCTCTGGATATTTCCATATCCATTTTGGTTTTGATGTTTTTCTTGTGGCTTCCTTGAGTGCCGATGGAACTGCCAGTGAGACAGGAGCCCTGGGAACTGCCCTTTAATGCATTCCTGCAGGAAACACTATTTGATCCACTTTCTGTCTGTTGAGTTCCTTTCTTATCAACTCTGTAGATAGGAAATGATTTCTCTGATAAATTACATTGCTCTTCTTTAGTCATATTCCTTTCTTCGATCCTTTAATGTTTAAAGTAACCTGCATGTAGTTCTTTGTCTTCAAACCTTTGAGTGGTAACTGGGACTCACTAGTCTTGATCAAATCTTTAAATATTTGAGCAGAATGTCAATTTAGATTTGATGCCACTGTAATTTATTTCTTATTGTTATGATTGCTTATGGAGAGGGATAAAATAAAACCCTCTGAAGAGTGATTACTAAATATATTCCTGGTTTAAAGTAGGCATGAAAAGTTATTATTTCTGGAAAGTTTCTAAGTATACATTTGCTCAGTATAATCAATGAAATCGCATGCTTTAAAACGTATGTGTAATTTTCTTCCATTTCATGCCATATGGGTACATTCATGATTCCTAGTGTAGGCTGAATTTCTATCAACCTTGATAAAACTTACCATTCTTTAATTTCAAAGACCATTGGTTTGGTTAACAAAGTAACATGGACTAAATTATCATTTTATTGCTAACTTTTATTTCACAGTTTAAATTCTGGCTAATGTATAAAAGACTGCTACTCTGCATTTCTACTTGTATAAAAACCATGCTTCGCTGGTATTTAATGTGCAGGAAGCAAACAGTTTTCCCTAGGGGGAATGTAGGGGGAGCCCTCCACCCCTCACTGTCACTTCTTTTGCCAGTGACTTACCTGTTCAGAAGTTCCACCATAAAGGTGTCTTTTGTTGAACACGTAACAGGGCTGGGTTTGTTTCTTGTTTCAAAGTTCACATGGTTGTACATATTGTGTGATGATTTCAGATTATTCTTGCTTTGTAATCCAGTGTCGGGAGTATCTGCCAACCTAGTGCCCCTGTCAAGCTCATTTTCTGTCACACACTGAAGCTCAGGCTTCCTTTTCTCTTTTTTCCTTTCTGATTTCAGTTGCTTATTTCCAAACCCCAAGACTTTCACATCTTTCCTTTCCACCTTGGTCTTGGAGAAGTCCATTTTCCTGCTACTGAGAGCTGGAAGTCTGCTTTTTCGAAAACCAAACCAGCTGGCAAAAGAAGGCCCGGGTTTAGGCTTTGCTTCCACAGAAGGGGATTTTGTTTGCACTTGGCCCTTTTCCACATTTTCCTGAATACACAGCATGACCTTTTCTTCGATTGTGGGTGAGAGGGGAGCTTCTGGGCTCACAGCAGCAGTCTTGGCTGCAGAGATATCTGGATGTCTTCCAGAAGTTTCTAGCTTGGAAGTCCTGATTGTTTCTAAACTGCTTTGATGCAGTGTCCTTCCTGCAGCCTGAGGCACCTGAGGGCTGTCTGTTGGAGTGAGTGGGTACCAGCAATGGTCACTATCTGATTCCTCAGGTACAGCCACACTTGCACATTCTCCTCCTATGTGAACCTGCTGGTCTTTTGTCCCACACTGGGTTTGAAGTCCTTCAGACTTTGGGGAGATCCTCAAAGGGAGCTTGCTTGGGCTTCCATGATGGCTGCTGGTGCTGTCTGCGCTCCCTAGGGAGCCTTGCTTGGAGAAAGGGTGCCCAGCACAGAAAAGACTCTCAGATGTAGGAGTAGGATTTGAGTTGTTTAGGGAGCCCTCTATGGAGGTGTTCTGCCGGGTAAGAGAGTTGCCTCTCTCTGCCGTGTTGGTAATAATCTGGGTTCGGATTTTGCCTGGCCCTTCCACAGAGGGTGGAGAGGGTTTGTCTCCTGAGTGAGAACTAAAGCTCTGGCTTCGAGCTTTGGCACCATTCATGCCTAGGGCTGGCTTTAGATGTGGCTTAATAGAAGAAAGGGATCTTTTTACTGATCTGTTTTCTGTTCCATCTCTCCTGTCAGCCCCAGGGATGCCATTTTCCAGTGACTTTAGTAGCATCGTTTCCAGGGGGAGTCCCTCAGCTAACCTGTCTGGTGTGTGTGATCCTGGCGTAGGGGAGTTTCTTTCACACCCTGTGGCCCCTAGGTTTGCTGGATTCCTGGAGTCCTCAAGCTTAGGCCTGCTGGCAGCCACAAAGCTTTTAGAAGCTTCATTTAAACTATCTTTTTCATGTTTCCCTGGCACTGTAGAATTTTTCCTGAGCAACTGGGGAGACTTCATGAGAACTTTGAGCCCCACTGGGAGGCGAGTTTTCAGTCCTTTCTCATGAGCATTTTGACAGCCATGTGGCGCACTACGGCTTTTGGAGGAAGAGGAGGAGGATGTGGAACTGCTAACCTGAGATGATGGTGACTCACTGGCCCCTAAGAAGAAAGGCTTGGGGGATGTGTGGACACCGTCATTCACTTGTTTTCTTCCTGGAGATGCATTCATGGAGGGCTGTATCTCCAGTGGCTCATGGGTCGAAGGACAAGTTTTAGGCACCCGTAACCCTGTATCCATATGTGTGGTCCCAAGCGTTTGATGAGGAGAGGTTTTGGGAACACTCCTCTTTGGGGAGACCTTTGGAGCTCCAGGAGACAGCATGGCAAATGAGCTAGAGGGGGCATGAGCAGGGCATCTGGGGTGAATCATTGTCTCTGTGGAAGGCAAAACATGAGGAAAAACAGGCTTTTTGAAGGTTACAGGTTTCTTTTTCTGCATTTCTGCTGTGGCCTGATTAGGAGTGAGTGGAGCAGATGCTCCTTTCAGCGGGGATGATTTTAATACTGTTTTCATTGTGTCACTGGGGGGCCTGGTTTCAGGCTTGGTAGACACAGGTGGTGACGGAGACTCATAAGGGGGCCTAAGCAGCAAGGAGACTGACCTGCCTGGAGTGGGTGGTGGGGAAGGAGATGTCACCCCTGCCTCTGGCCCAGAAACACAGTGTTTATCTCTTGTGGGGGGCTCTCCACTGTCACCAGGCTCAATGAGCAGCGTTGATCTTGACCTTGGAGTCTGATTCTTGGAGCACTCAGTCCAGTCCCTCCTGCTGGACATTCTGGGGCCATGAGAAGGTTGTGTGGGGAGCTTTGGAATGTGTGAATCTGGTTTTACATCACCAAGGGGACCTGTGCTCTCAGACTTCATGAACCGTGCCAGTTTCCCAGGAGGTAAGGCTGGTGATTTTTCAAGAGTCACGGGGCTAGATGAAGGGATTAGTGTGCAGCCTTCAGACTTTAGTATTTTTGACTTCTGAGGTGAAGACTTACCCCTGGCAGGTATTTTTGTCAGATTTTGCCTTTGATAAATACCCATGGGTGCTACAGAGCTTGAGTTACTGTGATATGACATGGGTGTCAGCTTAGCTAGTTTTTGTTGGGGGACATTTTGCGTCACTGTTTTGGAGATGAATGGGTCAGTGGGAGCTGAAGAAATGCCATCTATACTACCTGCTGGAATGTTTTTCTCAGTTTCTTCTTCAGATCTCTTTAAGAAGAGACAGTCTTTTGGAGCAGCCCCTGGATGTAAATGAGCAATTCCCTGAGGTACAAGTTCAGTGTGTTCTGCTGTGGGTCCAGCAGGGGCTGTGTTAATGGAAATTTCATTTCTCATAACAGTAGCAACTCCAGTCTGATATGAGCTGAATTCAAAAGGCTCACCATCTTCTGCATCAAATATTACAGTGATACATTCTTCTGAAGAAGTCCTTTTTACAACCCTTTGCTGCTTAATGAAACTGAATGTCTTTGGCCTACTTTCTAACTGGATGGGTACTTGCTTTTCCTTCTCATTAGGAGACCCATGTTCAGATTTCTCAGAACCCATGAGGATGTCCAGGTTCTCCATGGACTTGTCGGTATCAGCAGTCAATGACAATTCTGAAGGGCTTTTGTCGTCACTGCTCTCTATGTGCAATTCATCAAAGGTCTCATTGTCATCCATGTCTGAAAGCTGGAGATTGAGAGCTGTGTTGTCATGGCCTTGGATGTGTGGGTCCCTGTCCCGTTGTAATAGAGGCATCTGCACCCGTGGGCATAGCTTCCTGTCCAAGGGACAGTTGCTGGAAGGAGTCAGTTTTTCAGGCCTTTCCCTGGGATAAAATGAGGATGTGGCTCCTGAAAAGTGTTTTCCATTTAGCTCCCAGCAAAAGAGACTGTCAGAAACACTGTGGGTTAATTTACTGCCATGTAACCTGCATCCCAGGTTTGGAACTGTTTGTAGCAATGCCAGGGAAGAGGAGTCATCATCAGCATCCTCCTGGGAAGCTGTATCATAAACAAATGTCTTGTGGGATTCGTGGCAGGGGCTCCCTACACCTGGTGGTTTGCAGGATGGATATTCCTTGAGACTGCTGCTCTTAATTCCTGGAGAATATATTCCTTCATTCGAGTTCATGCAATCTTTATAACCCCATTTGGTTATCACTGATGAGGGTTCAAGTAACACTTTTCGTTTCTGGAGTCTTCTCAGCCCCTCTAAAATGTGACTTTCCTTGATCCGAGTTGGAGGTAGTTCATCTGCAGGACTAGCAAAGTCACATGGGAGTGAAGAATCAATACTTAGTCTTTTATCCCAGTTTTGTGATGGTTGCTAGGAAATAAAAACAGGTATCAGAAATGATTGAACCATGCAGATAACAAATACATAAAAGGCAAACCCCATCACTGACCTAATTTATCCTACTGGTTGATAAGTATTCATGTAAAAATACAGCTTATGTAAAGTTAGCTGTGCTGGTAACTCTTGATTCTGTCAGGTCCTGTGCTAAATAGCAGAGCAAAATAAAGAAGAAGGTGAAGACCCTATCCTCAAGGAGTAGAAAGCCCAGCAGGAGGTAGGGGTTGGCCTACAGTTACATGTATGTCATGTAAAGGAAAAGTGCAAGTGTGGTGAGTGTCTCAGACTCAGAGGAGGGGGCCCTCGAGTATGTTTGGAAAAATCATGAGAACCATATAGCAAAGACATTAAAGAAAAAAAAAAACACTTACCTAGTTCTTGAAAGATGGGTAAGTTTCCCTCAAGGTAAAAGTGGGAGAAATGTTTTTCAGGATAAAGAAATGGAATGGGCAAAGATCCAAGTTAGAGAGGTACACTCAAGGGACACTCAGGGAAAGAACAGAAGATAACAGACCAAGGGTGATGTAGTCAGTGAAGGAGAGTTGGAGGGGGTAAAGCCAGAAAAGTAACTTGGTCCATATCATCGTATCTTGCCAATCTAATTTTTCTCACTTCATAAATATCTATGGAAAAATTTCTGAAGTTATCATATATATAAGCATACACATACATGCATACTTACATATAAGAGCTGGGCATTTGCAGTTCAACCCTCTAATTATTCTCCAACAAACTTAAGTCATATTCCTGGCCTTTATACCTCCCTAAATAACAGCTTTAGCACTGGAAAAATATATGGAAAATGAGACTGTAAAAAGACTTCTACACATTCATGTTTTTCATTTTATAGACAGCAAAAAGTGGAAAGGTGAAATTGGGAAGCAACATTTCCTGAGGATTTGCTGTGTACCACCCACTTTCCCAGTGCTCTAACTGCATCTTCAGGACACTCCCCTGAGGGAGACAACGTCCCTCCTATTTTACTAAGCTGAAAAGTGGGAATGAAGGAGATTGTTCCATTGTGAATCAAAGACAAAAATGCTGGAGGAAAGGTTTGAACTTTGGTTTCTCTGGCACTTTCTGCAACACTGTGAATTTTGCCTCAGTTCAAAAATGGTGGGAGAAGACATGAACCTCAGCAGTCCCACTCTAGAGCCTATACGCTTCTTACTTTGCCCTGGTGGCCTCCAGTCTTCAGCATTAGTCGATGATCTGGTAGTAGGGATCTTAGGTTACCCCTGCACCATTTCTTTTTCTTTTTTAATTAATTTTTAATTAACAGAAAAGAGAAACAACAACAAAAGCTAAATGACAATAACAACAAAACAATAATGATACAGCATTTCAAACCAAGATGATAGGAATATAAAAATGATTGTCATGATGCACCATGTCATCTTCAGAACACTTGCTTAGGTTACAAGATACAGGTATGCAAAATTTATCAAACAATATAATTTCTCTTTGATTAGTTTCTTTCCCTTTTACTATATCTACTGTAACTTCTGGATCTTATTTGCTCTTTTAATTTCTTACACTAGTGAGCCAATATAGTGTTTACACATGTAAATTTGATTTATTTCACTTACACATATGGTTTCTAGCTACATCCATTGACCTATGAAAGCCTTGGGTTTATCATGCTTTATGGCTGAGCAATACTCTGTTGCATTAAAATACCATATCCTTTTATTCATTTCTCAGTTGACGGGTATTTGGGTTGTTTCCAAGGTCTGGCTATTACAAATTGTGCTACTATAAACATAGGTACACATACATCACTGAGATATGATGTTTTCAATTCTTTTGGGAAAGTACCCAGAAGGGGAATAGCTGGGTCAAATGGAATCTTTAATCCTAGATTTTGAAGAATCTCCCCCTAATTTCCACAGTGATTGTATCAGTCTGCACTCCCACCAACAATGGAGAAGGGTTCTTTTTTCCCCACCGCCCACCAGCATTTGTCATTGGTTGATTTCTGGATGATAGCCATACTTTCTGGGGTGATATGGAATCTCAGTGTTGTTTTAATTTGCTTTTCTTGAACCACTGATGGTGTTGAACATTTTTTTATGTATTTATCTGCCATTTGTATTTCTTCATCTGAGAACTGTGCATTCATCTCAAATGCCCATTTTTGTATTGGATCATTGAATTTGTGGGGCCTGGTTTTTTCAATTCTTTATATGTTCTAGATAGAAGTCCTTTGTCTTAGGAACAATTGGCAAAAATCTTCTCCCAGTCTGTAGGCTTTCTTTTCACTCTGGTGATGATGTCTTTCTACAACACAAAACTTTCTAGTGAGATGAGATCCCAGATGTTGATTCTCTAAAGTACTTCTCATACAGTTTGGTTTTTGTTCATGAACTGCCTGCCCCATGTCCTTGAGATTTCTATCTACTTTATCTTCCAGTAGATTTAGTGTTTCTGTCCTAATATTTAGATCTTTGATCCATTTTGAATTTAGTTTAGCCTTGTTTAACCATTTCTTGAATGGAACTCGCAAAGTCTATAACAAACCAGTACTTGGGGAATTTGGTAGGGTATAAAGGCTGACTTGTTAATTTTTTTCAAGGCTATATAATCTATGATGAATAACTTCAAAGAACAAATATGGTAATTTCAGAAGAGTAATCCACTCTAGTCCTAGCTACACCAGTCACATCCTGCACATATGTCTGAATATTAGATTAAGGCTCACATGCAGAATTTAAAAAAAATTAGCACAAAATTCTATTGGAATCTGGGGCTTTTATAAGCTGTGAACATTTGCCTTTATCTAAGACATTTTCATGTTTTACTTGCTATCAACAACACACACATGTTTATTTGTTTCTAAATCAAGTAATATATTTTCCCATAAGTCACTGGGAACAGATGCTGTTTGGTGATACCATTCTTATTCCTCTTTATTTTGCACGATTCAAAGCTTCTTTGGAAATCAGAAAAAATCTCATTAGTGAGCCTGAGTATTCTACACCACTAGAGAGGAGGCTGCCACAGCTTCAGTTTCTAAGAGTTTCTGTGAACCTGATAGTCACATTGACAATAAAGCAGAGAAGGCAGGAAAAGGGCCCAAAAAGATCTTGAAAGAAGTAGATTTGTTTAACCCACTGAACATGCGCTCAGCTCCTAGCCACCCACCTCCTTTATGCCTCTTCAGAGCTCACCCATGCTGTGCTCTGACTTGCTTGAGTCAGTAGTGCAAACTTCCCACTGTGATCCACCATTCTCCTCCATCAATTTTCTACAAGAGGTTATGGTATTTAATAACCTGAGAAAAGTTTGGACCACTCTTGAAACTTGATGGCAAAATAAATGTACAAGTGCCCTGTGGGAGAGAAGATGGGGAGGGGCTGGCATTTCCCATATGCAGCTGCATCCTTAGCTGAGCAGACTTAGAAGAATCACTTTAGGAGCAGCATGGATGTGGATAGCAGATGAAGTAGGGCTGTTGTTTAATGTCCAAAATTCTTTTTTGTTTCTTGAGTGCACAACAATTTCACAATTTTATTTATTTAATAAAGGGTATTGGTCTTTTTCTTTTTCAGTATTAGGGACTGAATTCAGGGATACATCTCCAACCCTTTTATTACTATTTTTAAAAAAAAAAATTAGACAGGATTTTGCTAAGTTGCTAAGTTGCCTAAGCTGGGGTTAAACTTGTGGTCTTCCTGCTACAACTTCCCAGAGCGATGAGATTCCAGGTATTATCGGTCTTAATGGAAACACATCCATCTCAATAACTAGCACAACACTTGGATGTGTTAGACTGATTCAGTAAGACCAGGATAAAAAAATGTTAACAGTCAAGATCTTGGAATCATATCTGGTTCTTCCATGCCTGGCTATGAGGTCTTGGGCCAGTTATCTAACTTCTCAGCACTTAAGTTTTCTCATCTGTAAAATGGGGAGAACAACCAGTCCCTGAGAAGCAGGACTATACACCGAGTTCTGATGGTCATGTCACGGGCTCCACTGACCATGATGTTACGACCACCTCGGTGTCTGTGTTGCCTTAAGAATCTTCCTTCTTCTTTCTCAGGGAAGAGAGTGCTTCAGAACATCAAGGACTGCTCCAATTGGGAGAATTTCAGACAGAAACATAAAAATGAAAGAAAGCAAAAAGACTCTGGGAAGAAAAGAAGAAGAGGCATGAGAATAAAAAACAGAGGATAGGTCTGCAGAAGCCAGTACCATTCACAGACAAAGCAAAGAAACTTCCCTAAATGTCTTCCAATCTTGCTAGAAGCCAGGTCCTCGGCAGTCATTGTGCAGAAGCTCTGAACAACATCTTAGAGGGCCTGATTTTGATAATATGGCAGACTCTCTATTTTGTATTGAAATCTGGGTGCAAGGGTATAACATGTAGGCTTGAAAACTTTTTCAGAGTTCTCATTCTGGGAATGACAAAACTATTCCCTCACCAATATTTTTGGGAACTACTGTGTGGGATTTTTCTGGTTTCTATATGTCCAAAATAAACTAAGTTTCATAAACTTAATGTATTCAAATGGTAGAAAAATGATTTCCAAACATTCTGATCCGGGTTCCTATTTTCATGTAATCTGCTTTTCTTCAATGTTGGAGGACTTTAAAGTTGCTATTTCAACATACTTGGCTTATATCAATGTGCAAAGATGTTAGTACAAAACATAAAGGAATCTTCCGTTGTGTGAGTCCACTGTGCACATGGGAGTCACTCTAGTTGGAGTGATTATCTAAAACTCCAGAAAGAAATTCCTAGCATATAACTAGGCACTGGCCTACCTTCACTGGAATCATGGCTCCTCTTGTCCATCATGGTATGATACTTTTGCTCTATACTATGTTGCCCTCCAGTTTATAGTCAAATTTTGTTTTACGAGCCTGTAGTATTACTCAGTGAAGGTCAATATAATCCTGAGCAAATGGTTACCTCCTTCTTAGCTTTCCCTCCCACTCTCCACCTCTATGTCCTAATTCTACCAGAGGAGGATTCTTTGCTAGTTTCCTCAAATGCTGACTGTACCTTGGAGGAGGGACCTACCCTTTTTCTGAGGTTCTTCCCATCATGCCATGTGTAGGAGGAGCCACTGGAGTACTCACTGCAGGTGCTAGAAAGAGACAGTTCACTGCTGCTGCAGCTGTTTCGAGGACAGAGATGACCAGGAAGAACAAGTCCCAGCCCAGGGCATCTCAAGGCAGGGGTTCCTGATTTTGCATTCAGTTGCGATTCCTGAAAAAGCAAGACAGCTATGAGCAAGGGATTGGCTTAGGGAAAAATGAATACCAACCAAACCTCACAGTGAGTGGTTGGAATCAGAGATTCTAGAGCCAGACAGACTACAGGCTCAAATCTTGAATCTGAATCTTACTGTGTGAACACAAGGAAATTAACTCTTATGGATGCATTTTTATTTTAAAAGAGAGTAATGACAATATTGTATATCTTATAAAGGACATGGTAAGGATTATATGAAGTTCTATATGTGAAGCTTACAGCCCCAGGTCAGACCTAAAGCACATGCTGAATCACCACCAGCAACCTTCATTATTAGGCTGATGAACCACTATAATGGTTTCTCATTTTTATGCAGCTATAATGGTGAGAAATTCAGATTAATACTAAAACAGGACTAGAGGGCTGGGGTGCAGCTTAATGATAGGCCACTTGCCTAGGATTTGTGTAACCCTGTATTCAATCCACAGGAGATGCAAATAAAGCAAAACACCATAAAATGACTTGAATGCTACCAATGGAAAACAGAGCAGTGTCTTTATTTATAAGGCCCAAGAGCACGAACACTAGACTGATTGCCTAGCAGTCAAGATCAGGCTACCTACTGCCACTAAATATGTGATCTTAAACAAAGAAAACATTAATTTCTTAATGCTTTCATTTGTAGACTGGAGCAGCTCTACTGGATTACTCCTGTAGTTCCCTCAGGCCCTGGTGATTTCATTCTAAGTCATCAAATGCCCATGCTTATCTGTGCCATGTTATGAGAAGTCATGCACAGTAGACAATAAACTTAAGTGTCATGAGCCTTTGCTGTAAAAGATAACTGAACTTTTCCCATGCAGTTGGTTGCCCAAATGGCAAAAATCCAACATGTAACAGAGCTATATCCCAAGCAGTAGATCCTGGCTATTAGAATTCCAATGGGTCTGCATAAGGCAAGGGTAACAAATAAGTTGTAAACATCCATGCACATCTTGACAGCCACATTATAAGCCCCTCATGTAACAGATGAAGCTCCACAAACTGAGCAGGCTAAATTAATTTAACATCCAACCACTGAGAATAGAATCTATTACCATCTAATTCTAGCCTCCTATCTATATAAAGTTTTATCTCAGAAACTCTTTGATGGGGATCCATCTGTCTTTATGTCACTGGCAAGAGAGCAAAGCCCTTTTCTTATACAATTTATTGACTCTCTATGAGTGCCTTTGGTACCTGAGTACTTATCACTGCTTTTCAAATGCAATTCCAACTGATGGTGAGTAAACATTGGCTTGGAGAGGAAGGTAATGAAGATATGGGGTACCTATATAAGTACAAAGAGCACATTTAATTTGCTCTCTAATCAATATCCATACTGCTTGATAATGTTAGATTTCATCTGGTTTACTATCAATACTTTATTTTTGCTCTATAACAATTTCTTTAAGTGATGTAAAAAATGCCAACAATTTTTACTGCGCTATTTCTCCTCTTAAAATTTGGCTCTAAATATCACTGAAAAAAGAAACATGTCTTAAAATCCAGCTTTCAGCCATCTGTATTGATTTATGCCCTTGTTTATTATCAGGTATTATTTAGGGTATTCATATTCATATCATAACAGATGCCTAGAGCCAAAGGCTGTATCTTGCAGGAACCTTGCATTTAAGCCTTGCTATCACACACATCTAGAATGTGCCCTGAAGAAACTCTGAGAAACACTATCTAATCCTCACTTCTACCTGTATATTTTCCAGTGTCTTCCATTTCTTCGTATTTTGTTTGAATAATCAAGTTTATGGTTGTTATCTAGGGCTGCTTCTGTTCTATTAGATGTGCTGACTATCCAGAGAGAAATTATGTATGTGCCCTGTCAGGTAACCCAGAACTAAATGCCTCAGGTATTTTTTCATCCTCTGCTCAGCTTTTAGCAACAGTGTACATTCTGCCTTCTCCTATGGAACTGAAGTTTGTATATTATCCCCTCTGGCTTGCCCACCTATTCCTCCCCAGGATACTGATGAAGTTATGCTTACCTTTAAGACCAAACTCAATTCCTAGGTCTCTTTTAATGCATAACCATCCTTGCCCAATCATTTATGTGTGTTCCCTTGTAGAAAGGGTGGATTAAGGAGATAGTAAACTAAGACTCAGAAGACAGGTTGGAGCACAAGGAACTTCTGGCTCCTCCTCAGCCTTGAACTTGAGAAGATGTGATGGAGTATCCTTCTGGGAGGTGGGGAAAGCCTGTCAACAGCATGTGAGACAGGTGTGGAATAGTGAATAGAATCATGTCCCCAAAGACACGTTTTTTACACTTTAATGTGTACATGATCACTCAGAGATTTTGTTAAAATTCAGGTGCTGTATTTCTCAGTAATTTTGAGGAAGAAATCAAGCCGCAATTAGGATTGTTAACTAGTGCTTATGTGTTTTGATGCTCCTAGTCCATGGCCATCCTTGGAGCAGCAAGCTACTAGGATAGATTATCCTAGTAGGTTAAGTAAGATAGGTTATCGTGTGGATTCCGTGGCAGCACACTATGCCTTCCCTTAGTCTGACCTGACCAGTGCTGGGCAAGAGGAGGGGACAGCCAAGCCTATCATGGGCCAGCGAGCTGAGAAAAGGTGAGGTGCTTAGTTACTAAATAACTCCTCCCAAAGAAGAGGAAGAGGCTACTTTTCCCATATGAAATTCTCACACCTTGGACTGAATTTAATTAATAAAGGTCTGAATTTAATTAATAAAGGACCCAGAAAGAACCTCCGACATATCACTGGCATGTGTGAGCTTTGTTTCCCAACAGTTTCTGTCATCAGCATGATTATAAGGTAGGACTGTCTACTCTGGTGAATAATTGTTCTGTGGTTGAGGCTTAAGGTCCAAGAGCATGAAGTTTAAATCCTGCCTGTTCCCTTGTTAGATCTTTGTAGGAAAAAACACTTAATGCCTCTGTATTTGAGTTTAATTCTTTGTAAATGAAGATAAAGAAAGCACCTATTACATAACATAATTGAGATTACGGAAACACCTCTGGCATATGCTTAGGAACTGCTAGGTATTGGAATTATTACACCCCCCACCACATGTGTCTTGGCTTTTCAATTAAACAATAATTTAATAGTCTCTCTAAAGGACCTACTTAAGTTTCTTAAAGTTCTCTCATTATCTAGTACCTTGAACATAAGGAGCAAAAGGGTTGTAGTGGACTATCACAAGAAATGGGTGTACTTTGTTACTGGTGTATGGGGACAGTTCTAGAGAAACTCACTTGGAGATGTTTTTCAGTTATCAGCTCCAATTTTTCCATGTTTTGCTATAGTTATGGCTTGGCGACACATATTAAAAGAGAGTAGCAAAGGGATAAAGCAACACAGATCTTATCATCCCCATGTTAGCAGGTACTGTGCAACACATTTCAGTTGCCACCTCTTCCTCACCACAACTCTCTGGAATAGAAAAAAACACCTTTATCCTCATTTTCTAAAAGGAAAGTTGGAGGCATTGAGGACATGCTGTCTTGCCTGAGTCATTCATCTGATACAACATCCCAGTGCAAGACCAAAGACCCAATCATTTTACAATAACGCCAGTTCAGGCCCCTGACAGCCAGGAGAACTCCCAGAAATAGACAAAACACCAAAGTCCTAATGAATACAGCTGTCAGTAGCAAAAGGTAATGATTATTATTAAAATTCTCCTATGTCAAAAAGTGCATATTGGCTTCCATTGCAACATTATCTTAATTATGTTGGTCTAACTGGCAAAATCCATCCTTATTGTCCTATACAAAGCATCTTTTCTTGATGTATATTTTAGATTCCTACCCTGAATAACTGATATGCCTTAACATTTGTTCTGTGAGAAATGCAAAATGAAACTTACAATTTTAGTTTAAAAAACACAAAGATACAAGTAGAGAATGAAGTTAAGAGTTTCTTCAATAAAAATTGCACACTTAAAAGATTTCTGACCTCAAGGTCACATTATACATTAGATACCATTAGGTGTCTATGTATGTTTTTCTGCTTGCTTGCTTCCTTCCTTTCCTTTCTTTCTTTCTTTCATTCATTCATTCATTCAATTTTCTTTCATTTCTTTGTTATTAGGAATCAAACTCAAGACCTTACACTTGCCAGGCAGGTGCTGTATTGCTGAGCTATATCCCTGGTCCTCTATGAATGTTTTAAGTGACAGTACTCCACTGAAATGTAATTCCAATTAACTTGAGAATATTTATCTTTAATACAGACTAGCCAATCTAAAACTGACAAAATTACATAGTAAAATAAGAAAGCAGTTATCTACAAATGTTCACATCATTTTCTTTATGTATTTATACGGCTGTGGTGGTTTTTCTAATTACTCATTTTACGTCAATGAGAGTTAAAAGCCATGCTGGTTAGAGTTTTGCCAAATAAGCACAAAGCTAACCCCAGCTAAAGAAAAAAATGCAGAGCCCATGAATTTTTAAAAGTTCATACATAATATATCATAAAAGTAGGATGAATAATACGGGACATGGGCTTTAATAAAAAGCTCCTTGACCATTTCTCAGAGACTTTGAGATGTAATCAATACCCAAAAAGGTATCTTGGGGACAAAGCCAAGATTTATGACATTTTTGCCGAGAGTGACGCTTTCTGCATACTATATCAGCTGGGAGATATCATATTGAATTTCAGAGAACACAAGAAAGGAACGTATTTTTATCCATCTGACAAAGTTTCAAGGATGTGCTTTATGGTTCACTTATGATATCATATTTGATGGGAGGAAAATAACAACCTAAACATGTACTCTGAAGGCGATGGGGAAACTCAAGTGAAGCTTCACATCCTCTCGTGATTGCATCAGACCTTGGCTTCCTCCCATGTCTGGAAGCAAGTCTCCAGATAAAAGGTCGAAGATATGTGAATGAAGAAGAGACAGGGAGGAGCAATCCTTGGTTTCAAAAATCTTACTCTGAACAGCTACATCTTTAAAGAATTGCCATTTCCAGATTAGAT